AAAAAAAAAAAAAAAAAAAAAAAAAGGAAGCCCTGGCAAGTCGGGGGATTTTGCCCCCCTTTTGGTGGCTTGGTTTGCTTCTCTCCTAGTTTCCAGCACCAGCGCAGACCCAGGGGCGGGTGTGTGTGGGGCTGTCCGGGGCACTTTGTCACCTCAGGAATAAGCGTCGGGGGAGCGGGGCGGGCCGGGGGCGATGTGAGCCCTGGGGGGCCCGTCCCATCCCCMAGAGGGGCCGTCGGGGCAGCGCGAAGGGCCCTTGCTCGGCCGGACCGACGGCAGCGGAGCCCGCGGGGACCCCGGCGCGGGGCTGCAGCGCGGGGGCGGCGGGAGCCCCCGCGCGGGGCTCGCTCTGCGCTGGAAGCGGCGTCTCCGGCGCCGCGGGAGGGAAGGGGCCACGAGGGGCTGTGGTTCGGGGCGCTCTGAGCCAGCCCTGCCCCGCGCTGGTCCCCAGAGCGCCCGGGMGGCCCGCGGGCAGCCGGAGGGGCTCGGGCTCCGCGGCTCCTCCGCGCTGGGGGACCTGCGGAGGCGCTTTCGTTCTGCTCCTTGCTGCGGGCGCTGGTGGCAGAAGCGCGGCCGTCGGGTGAATGGATTATGAGTAAGTAAAAAGAAGCTGTCAGTCTCTTTGAAGATGGCGTTTAAAGGGACTTGCCAAGTCAAGACGGGAGAGTGACAAGATAGAGACCCTGGTGTTTTACATGCGAAGGGCGGCTCTTCCGCTTCATCTGCACCATACTAAAGGATGTGTTGAAGCATTGAATCACAAAAAAAAGTGGCACGCCGAAGAAAAGGTGCCACATAACAATGATTGTAGTGTTTTAATTGTGGGGTACCACATCACCAAAGCCAATTGAGACGGACGGGGCTATACACAGAAGGAAGCGGTACAACACTTCCATAACTTATAATTAAGCTGAAGTCCGACTAACATTTGACTTTCTAATGAGTGTAATGAGATTACATGCCTGATGGAAGCATTTGTGCAAAAGCGACTTTCTGTGTTTAATGAGGTCCTAATACAGGACAAGATCGAATTATGGGTCGGCTCTTTTCTCACCGAGAAAGCCCCGTTTAAGTTCAATGACACTGGTGCCGACCGCCTCCCTCCCGCCGCAGGACGGGGAGAGGCTGCGGCCAGGGCAGGCTGGCCGAGGAATCAGAGCTTTCCGTAAAAATACGCAAATAAATAAGTGCAGACCGTCCCCCTCCCTTGCCTCCTTCCCCCCCTCCCCGGCCCAGAGTCGCCGTGTTTGTGTGGGTAAGTAGCTCCTCTAATTGCTATTGGAATAGATCCATGCCATCCGCTAAATGTCTCTAACTAGGTTAATGCAATTAGCATGCATGCAACATATTGCTCCCACTTTGCGGCAGCTTTGAAAAAAAAAAAAAAAAAAAAAAGAGGGAGATGTACAGTATATGACGAGCCATAATTACACCTCGGCTCGCCAGGGCCGTTCCCATCGCCCGGGCACCGCGCTGGGGCCGCTCCGCTGCAGCCTGGGCCGGCCCGGGCATCTGGGGCTCCGCCGGGGGCCGGCGCGGCGGGGCAGAGCCGCGGTTGCCACGGGAAAATGAGCACCTGGGGCGCCGGGGCGCGCGCGGCTCCGCGCCCGCGCAGGTGCCGCCCGACCCGCGCCCCCGCGCCGCCCTCCGGCCGCCCCCTCGGCTTTGGGGGGGCCTTGGGCTCCGGCTGCCGGGGGCTTCGCGAGCCCCCGCGAGCTGCGCCCGCAGCTCAGGGCTGCGCAAGGAGGAAGGTTTTCCATGCGTGTCCGTTTCCAGCGTGGGTGGCGTTGGCCATAGGCACCCCGGGGAGCGCGGTTCTCGCCCCGCGCTGGCCGACCCTCGGGGGAAGGGCGGTGTTTGCCCCGCTCTCCCACCCTGCCGCGTGGCAGCGCCCATCGCCGTGGCTGCGGGGCCGGGCACACGCCGCGGGGGCGCCCGCGGCGGGTGCTGCGGCAGCCCCGCTCTTCCCGCTGGAAGCCGCGAGCAGAGGCGCTCCAAGGMAGGGACCGCGCAGAAGACAAAAGAYGTCGCTTGGAGCCACTTCAGGAGGGGACGTCAGAGGGGTGGAGTGAAAGTGCCCWCCCCCCTGCACCCCCCCGCGCCGCYCCYGGCTGTATAAGGGGCGCCGGGGCGCGCGGCGGGACAGAGGCACCGCCGGTGCCCAGCGCGGRCGCGCAGTCGCCGCGCACGGGCTGCGGGAGGCACCGCGGTCGCCCCCCGACGGCGCTGGATTCATTGCAGGGAGAGCGGGGATGCCGCGGAGCTCCTGAGCATCCCCTTCCCCCAGAGACACCGCTCCGCGAGGCTGGATCCGGATTTATTGATAACAAACGCAGGGAGAGTCCACGTGTTGCAATAAATTATTTTCACATTTTGTTTTTCTCTTTTCGAAAGGTGCTGATGAAATAAAACTATTGCATATCTTTAAAATCAGGATAAATTATATAAATTATACATTCAAAACAGACGATTCTACTTCATTATCCCTACTCCGCAATAAATAGATAAATAAAGTTGATTGCCCTTAGAGTCCGCATCTTAAATTACATTTAAAATAGAGGTCTTTACGTACAAAATATACACAAGGGAGCCAGGCGCCTCACGCCACGAAGTCGAAAGGAGGCTCGTTCTCGATGTCGTTGAGGGAYGACTTGTTGTTGAGCTTGCGGGGGTCCTCGGGGGTCCACACTTTGGCTGTCCTGATAACGTTTTGTTCCTTGAGCTGCTTTTCGTCAGTCCACGAGAGCGAGTGACCGGCCAGCGGGGGGAGGCCGTAGTCGGGGTCGCTGGGAGAGGGAGACCCTGGGCGGGGAAGGCAGGGGGGGTTAGCGCTGGGGCCCGATAGGGCCCCAGCGCTAACCCCCCCTGCCTTCCCCGCCTTTGCTTAGGGCCCTGGCGGCCCGAGGCCACGGGGATGGGCCGGGCCGGCCGGGGCGCCACTTACTTGTGCCTCGGTGGCAGATGATGATCTTCTTGGGCTGAGCGGGGCCCTCGCTGCTGGCGCTGCGCAGCGGCAGGTCGGACTGCACGAGCTCGCTGAGGAAGTTGATGTAGCCGATGGCGAGGCGCAGCGTGTCCACCTTGGAGAGGCGCTTCTCGTAGGGCAGCGTGGGGATGTGCGAGCGCAGCCCCTCGAAGGCGTCGTTGATGGACTGCATCCGCCGGCGCTCGCGCACGTTGGCCGCCTGCCGCAGCTGCTGCAGCTCCGCCTCGGAGCGCGCCCGCCGCCGCCGCCGCCGGCCCGAGCCCAGCGCCTGCAGCCGCCCCGACGGCGAGAGCAGCGCCGCGCCCGCCGCCCCGCAGCAGCCGAGCGCGAAGGGCGGCGAGGCGGGCGAGGAGGCGAAGGCGGCGCCCGCCGCCTCGCAGCAGTAGCCGCCCGCGGGCTCCGCGCCCTCGCGGTAGTACTCGTGCAGCTGCCGGCTCAGGAAATCCACGTCGGACTCCAGCAGCCCCTCGGCGCCCAGGACGTCCCGCGCGGGCGCCTCGGCGAACAAGTCCTCCTCGTCCAGGTAGGGCGGCGAGGAGAAGGCGTCCAACGCGCCGGGGAAGTGCTCCAGC